CTGAGTGGTTAGTTCTGAGATGATTAACAAGCAACGCATAACCGTGCATAGCATTAATAATGACATACACTCGACCGATGATGCTCGACAACATTAACTGTCTGTGTTTCGGCAGCAACACAATTGCTCTGTCAAACTCTTCTTCTTCAACGACATTTTGTTTTGCCGGAGTTAATCCATTAACAGACGTAAAATACGTCTCAGTGGAGCCCCACAATACGGGGAGTGCGAAGCACTCCTCTGACACAACTATCCTGTCCCCCTGGTCTGTGTGACGCTATGAACAAGGCTGAGTACGTCACGATTGAGTACATCAAGCTAGAATCTAAGATGTAAAGTCTTTCTGTCTTTGTCCACTACACTTTATTAATGTATTGGTGTAGGCACGGTTTGTTTCACCCATTTTTTTAACCTTCTTACGGGGGAGGCTGGTAGCGGCTAGCCCAAAGAGGCGTTGTAGTCGAGCTACCAAAGCCACCAGCTCGTTGTCTTCAGATTCTAATGCACTGCCAGGCGCGGTCTCACCCAACTCCCTCGTAGAAGGACACCACTCAACTGGATGTCCGGTAAGCCCATGATCACTCGACATGGCCAGTGGCGTGAATTAGCCAAAGTCAGGTGAGAGCAAAGTAATCGTCGCTACGGTCGCCTTTGGTATGGGTGTACATCACGACAGTGTCCGCTGGGTTATACATTTCTCGATGCCTCCTAGTATACAACATTATCAGCAGGAATCCGGTATGAACCTATCAAACGTCTCGGAGGATGTACCTACTCCTTGTGCCAGCCTGGCACTGCCAGGTCGTTGTGGTCGCGATGGTAGACCAGCGATTTCAATACTGATGGCCTCGCCATTCGACATATGTCGTCAGAGTGTGATGGTTTATTGGAAGCCTAACGCCCTTCAGGAGCTCTATGTGATGGCCGAGTACGCCTTCTCGACGACTCGGTGTAGGAGAGGGTATCTTGCGGCTCATATGGGAGATGCTGAATGCCCATCTTGTGATGGTTATTGTGATATCTGCAACACCGAGAGCTCCGCTCCGCCTAGAAAAAGCCTCAAGCACGGTCCGAGCGAAGACAAGATCGTTAGAGAGGTTTTTTATCAGCTCGATGAGGCAGCTGCGAGAGGGGAAAAGTTGACGTTGTTGAAACTGAGCGAAAAATGCCGGAAAAATCTCCACTGCGAAATTGAAGGAGTGGCAGTTGCTACCATCAGCCTTCTCAAGTCGAGTCATTTGAGGGAGACTTTCGATGCTACTGCATACTCTGTGAATTCCTATATCGAAAAACGAAGAACGTCCTCACCGCGGTCCATTTGGGAGTTCACTCATCGAGAAATCGAGAGTAGCGTGTCCCGAGTTTTCAATAGTCGGGCGCCGCAAGTGGAACTAAATGTGAACGAAGAAAAGCTGCGGATTGTTGAGAGGAAGCTGAACCATGGACGGCTTGAGATCGCTGCGACTGTTGATAAAGATATGCCTCCGCAGAAGATT